AGGTGCAGGTGGAGGCACTGGTGCAGGTGCAGGTGGAGGGTCAGGCCCCGGCACAGGCACAGACAGAGATACAGTTCCAGGCATAGGTGCAGGCACAGGTGAAGCTGCATATACAGGCGCGGGAGCAAGTGCTCAGGACTCACTCCCGATTGCTCGCCTGCTGACTCTGCCTGGTCAAGGCTGAGACAAACAACCACTCCCATGTCGTTACCCTGGTTCTAAAGAATCCCTTTCCATTTCCTGCTAGATGGTAGCTGCCGACTCCCCCGAGCTACGGTTCAGAGAGCTCGTGACGGACATGTGCCGTGGCCTTTACGCTGCGCACGCTTGATTAACTTGTCTTGGCTCCCTCGTCCGGGAACCTAGGGTGGCGCACCCAGTCTCCATCCGGCATCTTCTTGGATGCTCTTCCCAGCACGTAGTGACAGTAGCCCCACCATTGCCAGGAAGGCTCACCCGCTTGCCTTCCCAGCAGCTGGAAGCTTTGCAAGACCCTCTAGGGCGCCAGCTGCCGGAGTCAGGCTTGTCTGCTGATCACCGAGGCTTTACCTTTCGTCACGGGCCAGGGTGGGAATAGATACCGCTGAGCCGAAATAGTTGATCGATCCGTCATCTGCTTCGCATCTGAGACCCGTGTCTCTGACCTGAGGTGTCCGGCTCCCGTGAGACGTACCTGAAAAGGCGCAGCGCACGGGGCGCTGAACGTGTTTTGGGCGATGAATTTAAGTGCTTTTGCTTTTATACCCAATTTTCTGTCAGGGTCAGACTCAAACTATGACATCAAAGATAATCATTTTATAAAACTCATTTCTTTTCCAGAAAAAAGTAAGTTTCTGAAGAATGTAGATACATACAGTCTTCATTGGCTTAGAGTTTGACTCAGAGAAATGCCAAATGTGTTTAAAAGTAAAGGGGGTGTCTTCTCTCACACTTCTTCCTTGGGATCAAAGCTCCTCAAAACTCTGAATTCGGGGGGAGCAAATTTCTCGGTATAGTGGACCGCTGGACAGCCAGTGTGGGGAGCTGTCTCAGGCCGGGGGGTGTGAGCCCGTTGTTGTTAATCCCACGTGGCGGACAGAAATTCACGCTCCCCCTTCAGAAGGAACAGTCTGTTCCGGGAAACCTGGATTTTAGGAAGTAATCCTCAATTGTTCCAGGTACATAGACATGCGAACATGTCCATGTATGCCTGCGTGCATACATGTGCACACACACACGCACACACACACTGCAGCGTGGGCTCCCAGACTGTTGCTCCTGTTGTAGCATCACAGAGCAGGCGTGGAGACGGTCCAAGCAGGCGCATCGGGACACACACACATGCCGTCGGCAGCAGCCCCGCCATGCCCACGCCCCAGTGTCACTGACCTGACGGCCAGGGCTGCGTGCGGAGGATGACAGACAGGGCTCCATGTAACACAGTGTGTGGGACGTTGGAAAATAGACAAATTTGGCAAATTGCTTATGGATGCTGTAGGGAACGTGCGCAGTTTGGGGCGAAATCATTATCTGCTGAAGCTGGTGAATGGTTTGTAACTTGACTGTGGCTTCTCATAAAGATGGTGCACAGCCCCACTCTTCCTCGTGCCCAGGCTGCGCTGCCCGGCGCCAGGCATCAGTGTCCGAGGTACAGCTGTTGTGTGTGACAGGGTCGGGCAGGAGAGGTTCGTACATGTGCGGTTAGCCAAGGGTCTGAACCAGATTTTAGGTCCTGTCTTCATTTGCTACAATGAAACTTTCAATTCTAGCTTAATACTTAGGGTCATTTTTTAAATAATCTACTTTTAAAAGTACAAAGTGACATATTCTGAAAGAGTAGAGCCTTACTGGAATAGCTTTAGAATGTGACTAGATGGAGTTTTTTTTTTAATTACTATTCTAACTTGAATGCCTAGAACATAACTGTTTTTTAAAAAGTGAGATAGTAGGTCAAAACTAGTGACATTGTTCTAGAAAAAGTCAAGTAAGTGGGCATAATAAATGAATGTATGATGGAGACACGAAATGAACAGCCGCATGAGTATATCGCAGCCCCAGAGTGGTTCACTGCACAACCCACCTAGCACAGTGACTGGCACCCTCATGTTCAGCAAACATCAAGTCCGAATCTGAAGCATACAAGGAATTGGCTTCTGGAAAGCAAATGCCCGTTAAGAGGATAAATAATCAATTTTTGGATTCACAGATTCAGAATTCATATTCGGCATCCAGCTCCCCAGCTAAGCACCTTCTAGAATCATCTATTGTGTAAACTGTAAAGGAATCCCCTGGAACCACTAAAGAAGGGCTTGGCCACAGTGAAGCGTTACGAGATCGTTAGACTATCTGCTTCGTTGTAAGACAAATACTTCCGATGAACTGAGTGTTCTCGGCAGTAAAGTGTAACAACCCACCCCCTCTCAGATGGGCTCTCCCGCAAATCCTCGGTCCCGAGGAGTCGCTCCGACCAAACCGTGATGGTCCACATGAAGGACCTTCCACTGTGGTTCTGACCACTGCTGGTTCTCTGCAGGAAAGCACCAAACGCTTTGCTCGATTTCCGAGCCAAGCCAGAGTATCTTTCCTGAGAAATCCCTTTAGATGCCTGATATCTAGAGACGGCTTCACTGAGATTCTCTATTATACAGGAAGTCTCCGTTGGAGGACACACCCCCATAATACATGGTCCAAGACTCCGGTTAGCCAGGTGCTTTGCTGAGCAAGCACTCATTTTATGTGATCAAACTCTGAGCTATGTTTACTTCAGTGAAACAGGACTCTGAAAGGCATATGTCTGTCAGCTTCCTGCTTTTCATGTCCTCACTTACCAAATACATTCTGTTTTACCTTGCTGGTGAATTTAATGCCAAAATCGCTGCCAACATACGTGAGCTCCTGCCATGATAACAACATCTCTACCATAAGAAACACAGTCCGAGCACAGGGCATCCCGCATTGTATGCCTTTGTCCACTCCTTGAACGGATTTGGCAGAAATCATACATTTGTGAAAAGCTAGGAACAGGGTGTACCTTTTTTGTCTGGTGACCAGAGTTCTGGGTCACCATCTTGAAGTCAACCTTTCATGTCCCATGCTTTACTCAGTGACCATTATATCCCCGAGCGGTCAGCATATTCCCTCCAAGGCGGATTGTGCCTTTGTCTCACCAAATAGAAGCACAGACAGTGACTTAAGTTAACAGAGAAGCAAAGCACTCATGCCATAGTGAGAGGAGAACATTCCAGACGGTGCCAGGAGGCCGGCTCACACATGAGCACGTCCACAAGTAGCAGACCACCATCTAACGTGAAGAAAACAGGGCACCATGATGGGGCCACATGGACCAAACAGGCTGATGTTAGCCACGTGAGCAGGTGCAAAGTCTCCATCTCTCCCAGTGGGATGCCACTATGCATTCATCCAGTGTGGCAATCCCATCTCTATTATAAGCTGCATTGTGCCCTTTGAGAGATTTTGCTTTAGCTAAAATAAACACATATCAACCCCACATTATTACAGAGGAGCCCATTGTCCATAAAGGACCATTATTTATAACTTGGGAATTAGATATCTGTTTTAATTCCAAGGAGCCTCTGGCACTGTAGTTACGTATGAACAAAATCTTGCCTCTAAGGTACACCTCCAGCGGGTGTGTTAACATACAGGGTTGTGTTGGATCTTCAGTGATTACGTGAGACAGGTAGATACCATTTCACTGTCGTGCTCCCTGGAAAGTGAGGCCCAGAAAGATTCGACGATTTCCAGTAAGTGGTGGGTACGCAGTCCGATTCTCCTGAGGTGTTCTCTTACCAGGGGCTCATGTTCTTTCTATCACTTGTTGCTTGTTTGAACAACAGGAAAGAATATCTGAGTCATTCATTTCAGATTACATTAAATTCAGATTTGATTAATCAAAATTATATTTTGTACAGGTGGCCTGGTCTTTGCATGGAGAGTTT